AAGGAAGGAAGGAAGGAAGGAAGGAAGGAAGGAAGGAAGGAAGGAAGGAAGGAAGGTTGTAGTCTTCCCTGATGGCAGTTTCTTTTCCTTGTAATCTTGGCTCGCTGAAGGCAGGAAATTGGAATGCCAAATCAAAAGCCCACATTTCCCTCCAATCTGATGCACCTGATATTTCTCACAGAAATAAGGCTGACATTCTTGGATCCAAACAGAAACCACACAGTTGGAGGCCAATACCTTTGGGAAGAAAAAAAAAATTAATATAATTTTTATTAAGAATTTTTATTACAATAGTAAAAACTAATACAAACTAAACTTAGGGAAAGAGAATGGAAAAAAGTATAAAAAGGGCAGGAAAAAAGAAAAAGAAAGAAGAAACAGAAAAGAAAGAATATAGTAAAGAAAAAGAAAAGAAATATATAAAGAAGTGACTTCCAACCTTCATCACAAGCATAAACAAATTTAGTAACTCTTCATCCCTTATAAAGTTACAGGCAGATATCTCTTCATCACATATCACATCCTTTATGCTATAAGCAAATCCATAAAACATCAACTTTTCAATCCTGGTGTCAGCAAAAACTCCATAAAGGGATGCTAGAACTTTGCAAAAAAAAAAAAAGTCTTATTTTAACCTTGATCAAATAAATTAACTTTATATTTTTTCCTCTTACTTCTAGCATTCTTAATCTTTAATTCAATCTAATATTGTTGTAGGATTTTATTTATATTTATTTATATTTCAAATTTATCACCACCCATCTCACTGTGGAGTGACTCTGGGCAGTTTACAGTAAAAATAGAATTGATTTTATTAATTAATATTTATCTATTGACTAAAATAGATAAATATTAATTAATTAAAATATGTTAAAAACACACTTCCTTTATAATACTTCCAAGAGGCAGATGTTAATCAGGTGTTAATAAACTCAGGGCACATCGTCAAGGTGCCAGCCATCCTCAGGGATGATCGTATCTTTCCTTGCCCCAGGCAAGTTGGCAGAGCTAAGTCTTCAATTCCCTCTGAAAAATTGGGAGGGTAGGGGCCCGCCTTACTTCTGGGGGGAGAGTATTCCATATGGTGGGGCCAATGGCAGAGAAGGCTCTCCTCCTAGGACCCGCCAGTCAACATTCTCTCACTGACAGGATCTGCATCATGCCTTCTCTGCTGGACCAGGTGGGACAGGTCGATGTAATGGAGGTGAGATGGTCCCTCAGGTAACCTGGACCCATGCCATGCATGGCTTTAAAGATGATAACCAACACCTTGAACTGGACCTGGAAACAAACTGGAACCCAATGCAGCTCCCACAGCAAATATGTTAGGTGCGCCCTCCTTGGTGGTTACCCGCGTGGCCACATTTTGAACCAGCTGTAGCTTCCAGATATTCTTCAAGGGTAGCCCCGCATAGAGCACACTGCAATAGTCTAAACAAGAGATGACCAGGGCATGAGTGACAGATCGGAGGGACTCCCGATCCAGGAAGGGGCGTAACTGGAGCACAGCACGAAGTTGTGCAAAGGCCCTCCTGGCCACGACTGCCATCTGCTCCTCGAGCAGGAGTCATGAGTCCAGGAGGACCCCCAGATTATGCACCGGGTCTGTCTGGGGCAGTGCAACCCCATGAAGAGCCAAAAATGGTACAGATACAGAGGGGCCTCCAATCCACAGCCACTCAGTCTTACCAGGGTTCAGCTGAAGCCTGTTGTTCCCCATCCAGACCCCTACAGCCTCCAGGCACCACGAAAGGGTGGTCATAGCATCACTCAAATCACACAGGATGGAGATGTATAATTGAGTATCATCTGCGGACTGATGATACCTCAACCCATGGTGGCTGATGATCTCACCCAGTGGTTTCATGTAGATGTCAAACAGGAGCAGCAAAAGTACCAAACCCTGCAGTACCCTACAACAGAGGAGCTGCGGGCCAGACCTCTCACTCCCAATCAACACTGATTGGTACCGACCTTGGAGGAAGGAAGTGAACCAGCACAAAATTGTGCCGCTGTAATGGATGGCATGAGCGGGGAAGATTCTGGAATGGAACTAGACTGATGTCAGGTTCAGCCCAAGAACAGCAATGGGGCAATCCAGTCCAGTCCAGTTCCTTTATTAGCTCGCACCTAATAGACAAAATCTCGCCAGACTAAGCCTATGCTAAAGCTGTAGTGGCTATAACCCGTGAAACTCTAGGGAGGGGCCAGCCTCATCCTCTTCATCTTCCCACACTCTTGCTGCGGGCGGAGGGGGCGCTTGCCCTGGAATGTCTCTCCCCCCTCCTGACAACCTTGAAGTTCCATTCCAGAATCTTCCCCACTCATGCCATCCATTACATCCACCCACGCCCAACTCCCTAAGTCAGCCCAAAAGGATATCATGGTCAATGGTATCGAAAGCCTCTGAGAGGTCAAGAAGAGCAAGGATGGATGCACTACCCCCATCCCGCTCCCACCAGAGATCATCCATGAGTGCGACCAATGCTGTTTCCGTCCCATATCCAGGCCTGAAACGTGACTGGAAAGGGTCCAGATAATCTGTTTCATCCAGGATCCTCTG